ACCACCTGGGGTTGAGTATGGCTGGCTGGCTGATGATCATGGTTGTCCGTGTTAGGAGGAGCCTAACGAACAGCTAGCCGGCAGCTAGCATGCAGGTAGCGAGCCGCGCTCATGGCAGGCTATCGATCGGCCTACACGCGTCGAACGCATTCTGGCAGTCAATCAATAATTTGAAATTCAAGCTGCATTCAGCTTTCGAGTCACAAGCTAATCATGTCGCTACCCCTGCAAGGACAGAAGCTGATTGGCCCCATATGCATAGTTTTAGACGCATTTGTTACCCTAAATATATTGTACTAATTACGCCCAAAGACTTCTGCTTTTGTCCTCTTCTTGTCGTGTTCTTCCTTGGGGACTCACAACTGGCGTAATTAGGCGGGGACATCTCGGCTTTGGCCACCGTTACAACAGTCCGTTCCAGTCTTTCTTGTTTTTGTCAGCAATATTCCTTTGAATACCTTACTTTCCACACTTACGTCTCGATGCTGGTATGCCTGCTCCTATTTCAATTAGTCATGTCTGAAAATTACTCCCGACCGCACTAAGATGCAGCAACTTGTTTTTACTGTGTGACACTGAATCTTTTACTCAGGAAGCCGTAATTTCCGTCACTATTATAAATAGTCTGTGCTGCTCCACACGCAACTCTAATTCCCTCGTTTTGTTTTGCAGTTTCACAGATGGCTAGTATACTCCATCTTATCGGAACGGAACGCCGAAGACCGTACTCTGGCCATTCAACGTGTCCTCGATCTAATGCTCATTTTTGAGTATTTTCAAAATCAACAGGGTCTTCAGGAGGCTAAGGCCTCTCTCGTTAGTTCCGGGGTGTTCCGGTTAAAGAAGTCATTCCAGGTGTGTTGCCTTGCTACTTTTAATCTTACCTTTGTTCTGCCTTCACTCGCCTTCCTCTTCACGCCTACACCTTAAAAATACCACTGGCGGCGATGGCAGCTGCTTTTACATGACTTAAAAGCGAGTAAAAATGGTTTGTATTTGCCAAAGCGGGTGTCGAGTATTGAGACCCTTGCTGCGGCGGTTGAAGGAGTCGCGTTGAAATGGATCTTAAGTAGGCGTGCTTATTTGGACACGCGTGTATGCGTGTGTGAATAAGCTGAAGTCAGCTGTGGGGGGTGCCATACTTTGACGGAGCACCTGTTAGTCGGCCGGATTGTCTTGGCCGTCCGGATGTCGAAGGACAGGAGACACTAAGGCAGCTGTTATCGGTTAGCCAGAAAGGGAGCACTGAAGCAGCTGTGAGGTCTAGCCTCGGGGGGACGGGAAGCAGAGGAACAGTTTCCTGTGACGATGCGTGACTTTGGGTAGCGAGCCTTGGAGAACGAAGGGGGGGACAGGCATTGTGGACGTCCGCCACACAGTCTGCCTCTATAAATCTTAGTTCAGACTGATTTACTCTAAATCAGCGATTACCCTCTGGGATCCACTGATGAGCCGAAACCCTCACAGTTGTGTCATGCAGCGGCAGAATATCGGCGAAACACGCATGCCTGAGATTTTTGCTAGTACCCGTGCTACCAGTTTGATAAATACCTTCATGACCCATTCATATTAAAGTCAGACTTACTGATAACTACTACTACACGGCTGAACAGGAATCATTACCCGTTCCGACTGTTCAAGAAACCCATTGTTTATCCGTTTAGGTGTGAAATTATATCCTCCGTAGAAGGTAACTCTGTTTTCCCACACCATTCTTGGGACCTAGCCGGGCGGGCGGTTGAACCTAATATGTTACATAATATCACTTCACGCAAAGCATCTGCTGAAAAAGAATCTTTTACGCCTTTTTTTCCCTGCATAAGCTCGTGACTTTCATACTTAATGATAACATCTGCTACTTCTTCGCCATTCCTTTCTTACTAACCGACGATATACATAATCTTGACGGCTGGCACATCTGACACTGTAAATGCACACTCAGTATGATGAATGTATGTCCCGTGACTCATCATATCTTCCACACGCATACACACAGATCGTCTGTCTGAAAAAAAAACAACTAAAATTACAGTCAGCAACGTTCTCTTAGTCGATGTGGACTGTAGCTACCAAGTGTGTAGACACTTTTATTGTGAGACTGAGTCCGCAGCCCTGTAGCCTTTTATGGCGCCACACCGCTGCATCCGAATTTTGGAGCACAATTGCAGTGCTAGGTGGTGGTGGTGGTACTTCAACAGCTGTTTGCCGTTGCCTCGTCCTTGAAAAGGCATTCGCGCTCACACCAACATGACCCAGGTCGAGGCGCGAGGAGAATGCAAAAAAATGGCAAAAATCACATGTTGGCGTGTCGTGTGACAAGCATTCAACACACCTCACACAAGAGCCAGCGAAAGATGATGAGTCAAAAAGGAGACTAGATTGGTAATTTGACTGTGGCTTACCGAGAATTCAACCGTATCCAGTCAGACGACGGAATATTCATCAGAGGCTATTATTGCCAATTAAGGTTTCCTGAGGTTAGTACTTCTTTCAGTGGTGAAAAAAGGTATCCACAGTCAGGGCTGAGTGCGTATATATTTTTTAACTGTTTAGTGTCATTGGTACGTATTGAGTGTTGTCTGCGAAACAGGCTACAAGAGAGGCATCTCATGGGTTTCTCATCAGAGAGAGTTGCCAAGAAGGAGCAATTACAGCTTGATCGTCACCGATTTGCCTCTTGCGCAGACTTGCGCCTGATCTCACCAGGTGACTGATTTCCCCGGGCAGCCGAGTTGTGCATGGGATAGGGACGATAAATTGAAGTCGTCCCCTGCGCAGGCCAGCTCATTATTAATTATCGGACACTCTGAGAGTCCTGGTTTAGGAGAA